CCGGAAATATTTCTGCTATATAAAAATGCAAAACAAGATTTAAGTTTGAATGTAAATTGGCAGCACCAACTTACGCGGAATATTAATCGAACTCTCGATCAACAGGATGATTAATACACAAGCTACATAAAAAGCGACGAAGAAGGTGGCGAATGATTAAATTTTCGTTAATGGAAGATGGATCTTAATGGTGAGAGTCGGACAGAAATATTAAACGAAAATATTTTAGCCTGGAAAATAAGGACGTGCGAGACACGTCTTATGAATGGGGCGAGTAATATGGAACACGACGTTGAAGAGGTCGGGAACCGATCGTCACGGAAGAAACTTCCCTTTACGACCTCCCGCTCCTCCTACTCGCTCGCACAGTTCTCTACTCCTAGGTAGGTTATATCCTTGCCTTCTGATGACAACTTCGCTCCACCCACATACGTCGTCGTCGGTCGTCGTCACGACGCTTCGCCGCCGTCTGCCGACGACGACGACGACGACGACGACGATGACCCAGTTCAACAAGGATACCCATCGCCATTCAAGACTGATAAGAAAGAAACAGGACGCATCTCTGACCGAATTCGTCGCGCTTTTCCGCAAGAATCATGGATAATTCCACCTAATCGCGTACAAAATATCAACTTACGTTCGTATTCTCTGATATAAATTCATAAACTCTGTCTCATCATGGATAAAGCAAAGAAACAGGAAACAAGCAGTTTATAGCGAGTTTGTCTCTTGAAGAGATTGCTTCGTTAATACACTCGGACGTAATCCCCGGGAATCTCAATGAGAAACGAGCGTTATCCTCGGAAGTCTATTGTCGTGTCGTGAGCTGCAAGCGGGCGGATCAAAGGATGCAGATTCTGTTTTGCAAACGATGGTAAAGCGTTGCTCTGCGAGAAACGGTATTGACCCTCCCGCGTAAAATTTCGCAACAATGCAATTCGAGGCTGGGTGCAGCTGCGGCTGCAGTAGCAGCCGTAACCGTAACAATCGGCACGCCGCGCCGGGAACGAATGAAACTGGTGAGTACCTGCACGAGAGTAACGCGATCAATATTCTGTTTGCGAGTGCACACTTGCCCTGAAGCACGTGTACGCGATGGCGTTTGTTTTCTGCCGTGTTCCCGGAGTTATCCGTGTTGGAGGAATATCCTTTCGTGTAAACTCGACTCATTCTAAAGGCTACAGAAGCACTCTATGATCGAGAAAGCAAACGACGATCCTCTTTCCAGTTCTTTTTTGTTGAAAAAAAAAAACGCAAAGTTACTTTGCAAATAACGGCCAATTTGAGCCCAATTACGTTTTAAATTCCAAGTTTTTGACAGTAAGATAATCTTTTTTGTATTTTTTTCTAGTCGATACACTAATATTTCCCTATTCCACGTTCATGAAAATTAGAACAGTTTTAGTTTAGTTTGTACAAGCATTTGAATATAGGGATGTTAGACGTAGTTCCGAAATGAAATGGAATTAAGTATTACGGCGATATTATTCCGAGCTTGCTATTTATATTATCCCGAGAATGAGTACGTACGCGTTATCGCCCACGGGGCTGCCATTCAATTGAGATTGCGCCGACAGAGATCGGAGCGCAAAGCTAGACCGAGGTTCTCTTCGCGGCGACATGAACGGCGGATAGGTGCGCCACGGCACGTGCGCAGGAGCAGAAATCCGCCGGAAATTCGATCGATTCGTGTGCGCGCGAGAAAGTTGGACGAGCGAGAAGACGACGCGAATGCAATCGCGACGCGACGACAGGAGGCCTCGAGAGGCGCACAACGAATGATCGAACGGCGGGGTAAGAACCTGGGAGGGATCTCTTGACCCCGATCGCACATACATCCGAGAAGAGGAGGTAGACCGCCTCGGTGCATTTTCTCGCGATCGAAGTTCGACCTTGGCTAGGTGGCAATGTATCCGGGTCTTTTCTTAATTGCGAGCGATTGCTTTATACACACTTGAATATATCGCGTTCCGAGAGAGAAAAGCAGTGATCGTCTCGTCGGAATTGGCGATAGTTGCGTTTAGCAGAAAAAGTAGCTCTGCAACTATTCTTCAATATTTCGCGTCCTTAGCGGATCTAAATCAAGATTGTCACAGAAAATAAATTTTAACATTCCCTCCTGATTTCTCCAGGTTTTCCAGATGAAAATGGAAAATTTTCCACGATTAATATAAAATATGTAAATTTTAACATTTAAACTCAAGGATTGTAGGAAAGCTATATTAAAAATGCAAAAAAAACTTAGTAGCATAGTAAAATTTTGGGTGCAAATTGAAGCCAGCAAAAATTAGTTTTGAAAAAAAGAATGCAGTTACGCGACGAAAAAGAGGGATCAAATAAAAATATTGAATAAAATATATATTTGAATTATTTTGTTAAAATCGTTTAAAATGCGCAAGTTTTAAACTATAAACGTCAGATATAATATTTAAAAAATTATAACAATTATATTTGGAATAGGAGCAGTTTAAGAAAATTGCGAGCAAATTTTGAAATTCCAGGCTTTTTTACATTTTCCCCTAACTTTTCCCGGTTTTCCCGGTTTTTCCGGTTTTCCAAGTCTGTGGCAACCTGGTAAAGGTATAAATCAATTGTATTAAAGAATCTAACAACAATTGCAACCGCTGCTTTTCCTGAAAACGCGCAACCATTAAGAAACGCGTTGTCCAATTTGGAACATTTTGGTACGGCACGTAGACTTGAGATAATCGGATATTAGAATAGATCGTATGCCGGCAATTTGTCGCACCAACTGCTAATAGAAACTTGCGCGGGATATAAGCGGTATTATAGGACTCGTTTTACCCTCAAACCAAGCGCTGCATCAAGGTCGAAGTGTATTAATAAGCACGTAGCTCTCCGTGGCATTGTGATACTCCTAGACTAAACACAATGATTTCCCATTGTCCTGTGTGATCGATCAATTTCGCGCGAAGCTATAAGACAGCTCACAAAGTATCACTTATTCAGGAAACTTACAAGGTCTGTCGGTACGAGGAAACGCGGCTTTACATTATTCCGAATTACATACAATTTTGCGATACGTCGTACGAGTTTCAGCTAAAATACTAAAGAAGTTAACCGTCTATATCTGAATTACGTACAATTTTGCGCTCATCTAAGTTTCAGATGAAACACTAAAGAAAATCGATTCAAGGGAATGCTTACAGATCTCGTTATTGATCTCGTCTATGAAAAAAATTTTTCGTTATTTGATATCCATAAAAAAAACTTATTTGTCAGACCTACATTCTTATTATTTCGTATTATTTCACAAAATCTTATTTCTAAATCTGTTTTTTCTTTTTTTTTTCTTCGATAACACGCAATTCTTTAACTTGTTGCGTGAATCCACAAATGTCTCAACTATCTAAACACACCATCAATCGAATTACGTTATATCCGTAATCTAATTAATTTTCAATGATTGCTAGTAGATGGAAAATAACGCGTAATAGAAGGTCAATCAGACGAGTTCATCGATTTGATTTAATGCGGTTAAATTTGAGAATACTGTCTTTTGCCCTCGCCTCGCAAAGACTTACAAATGTCGCAAACGTCAATAATAACGTGGTGTATATGACGCGGTTTCGATATTACATTTCGTTCCACGATTTAATTGCTTCGTTATGAAGTGATACGTGATACGTGCTCTATGCGCGTATACTGTAAACTGAAATACGAATTCCCTTTGTTTATTACCTCCGGCAGCGTTACATATTGCAGCTTCCTATAAGCAAACAATTATATTCATTGACAAATTGCAACAATCGTACAATACAAAGTTTGATGTATAATTCCAAGTTATTATGGTGGTAATATGATCGGAAATATCAAATTAGTGCATCACAAATACGAGCACAGTTAATACGAGATCTTTTTATCTTTTTTTTTCTTCTACCTCGGATGTAAAACGACAAAATTAACCAATTTTCAGTTATTATCATACCTAGCAATTTCGTATCACGATGTTGACGATGATTCTTACAATTCAACAGTAATTTGATAATCGCTACGTACATTGTATCTTTACTGGTTACGACACCGTCTCGTGCAAGCATTTTCCACATTATTAATAGATACGCTTTGTTTAGGTATTGATAATACTACGTATAAGTATTTTTTTTATAAATTAGTAAAAATGACCTATTGTGAATTAGTAAAAAAATAATTCTGCTACGACATATTACAAAAATCTTTTGTAACATGATGATAAATTCGAATACAGAGGCATGCAAATTGAATTGTTGGAAAACAGAATATCCAAAGCTTGAGATATACATAATTAATTCCGACAGTAAATATGTCGAAATTGAAAACATCATAGGGTCGTGCGTTGAACCGAATAAGCGTCCGTCTCCGGCTTAGGTTCAATAGAGTTAATTACGTATATTAAGAGCTTCCCGTTATTCAGCTTAAAGTAAATATTTGAAGTGTAATTTCATAATTTCCACGGAAAATTAGAAATAGAGAAAGATCAATAAGAATATGTTCGTCTTCCCAATAGAGACTATTTTTTTCTCTTTTAAAGATGATTTTTAAAAAGTTAAAAATTTCTATAAAATATATATATATATATAGTTTACATTGTTTAATGAATCATATTAGAATATTTACGTAAGTTGGCAATATTTTATTAAAATAATTTACGCATCTTATTGGACAGTATTATCATCGAGTATAAAACGAGGGGGGAAAAAAATCACTTATTCCCTAGCTTTGTCGATACCAATTACATGTACACTGAATGAAAAAGTTCCACGCACTATTAACGAACGTACGTTTGTATAAATGCATATGCATATTCAGGATACATACAAGGTCGCGGACACATGTAATTGAACGGTCTGCACGCTTCCGTTAAGAGTCGAAAATTAGCTGGGGTTTAACCGGCGACTTAACGACGAAGAGCCTCAATCAGTAAGTGAAGGATATAGCATTAGCCCTCTGTCAAGCACGCCCACATCCCGTCGTCGCGGCGTTATAAAAACAGCGCGTAACCAGCGCGGATGGTACATTTTGCCTTTGAAAAGTGACATATCGAGGTTGAAGCGAGCGAGCGAGCGAGCGAGCGAGCAAGCAAACGTACGACAATGCACGTGTCAGTGATCCTCGGCGTAGTGTTGCTACAGGCGATTTACGTGTCCGCCGGGGTAAGCCCTTCAGCTTACTTTCGTTAAACGCGCTCCAGATCCCCGTACAATAGGGACAATAATCGGCAGTGAGGTCGCTGTACGCATTGTGATGTGCGATTCGCCGAACGTCGCGCGCGCGCGCGCGCGCGCGACCTGTCGAGAATGGTGCTAAAGTCCGACACACGAGAATACCCACTGCGACGCGCTCGTAATAAATTCTGATTTTGCGTAGCCACCTGACTGGATCCCCGCGGAAATGTTGGAGATGGTTCAAGCTGACAAGGAACGGTGCATGGCCGAACACGGAACGTCTCAAGGTGAGCCCCGCAATTAATAGCACGATCAACATGCGGCCAATAATCCCGCGCTATTATACAAACTATTTTCCATAACCGTTTCAAGCCCCAAAGTCAAACATTATAGTCATTTCGAAAGAAATAGATTTCTTCTATTACAAGAGCTTTCTATCTATATATCAAAGTTTTCATCTCCTCGCATTTATAACGGATATCTCAATTTCGCGATGCAGCGAGTATCGATGAAGTTAACGATGGGAAGCTTTCGAATGACCGGAGTATAACGTGCTACATGAACTGCCTTCTCGATGCCTTTAGCTTGGTAACATTTTTATAGATATCATTACGCTTATTTATACACTATTTATACGACGAATGCAAATCTGATCGAAACGATTTTTCGCCGATTAGGTCGATGAAGAGGGTAATTTGGAAGCTGACATGCTGATAAGCGTTATCCCAGAACAATTTCAAGAGATAGGTAACAAAATTTTGAACAAATGCGCTAAGCAAGGTACGTTGTGTGAGCAAAATGCATTTTTTTATAATTACTTTATTATTATTTCATTAACTTCCCGCTCTGATTTGGTTAATGTTTCAGACGGCGCAGATGCATGCGAAAAAATCTACGAAATAGCGAAATGCGTCCAAGGAACTGTACCAGAGGTAAATAGATTCATTGTTTCAAGTCAGTAACGACAGTAACTCTTAATAAAATTGTAATTAAACGTTTTATTTTTTAATTCAATATTATTATTATTATTATTATTATTATCATAGTAAAAGAATACATTTTTGGTGCGGTTAAATCGACATTGTCAGTAAAATCCTTTTTATACTTGTTTTCCGTTAATTAATCGTGTAAATGTATTTTGTTACAGTTGTGGTTTATGGTTTAATTCGACACATGGGAGAAGAATTTACTCCACAAGCACATGCGACGATGTTCTCCGATATATCCCGCGCATAACGTTACGAAGTAAAACAATTCGTTCGTGGAAAATAATAAAGAAGAAAGAAGTAGCATATAGGGATATACGAATTACGTAAATTTTAAAAATGTGATTTGTATAATAATAATAATAATAATAAGTAATTATTATGAACACGCTGTGCGGTCTAACATGAATAAAATTAGTAGAAAATATTAATGTTTGATATTAAAATATTGGCCAAGATATAAATATGCATTGAAATTAAATCAAATCCAAGCAAATTAAAGGGAGGGGTATGAGATATCGATGCATAATCACGAGATATTTGTGTGTCCATGTTTAATTAAATAATTTTTTATGATTTTATTCGCCTTTGATTCTAGTATACCATTTGACTTTCTCACTGTTCGCAGAATCGCGTGTAGGGTGAAGCGGGGTGTGTCAAATTAATTAAAAAGGATTCGTTACAAAGAGTAAATTATATAGCAAAGTTAATTAGGTACAATAGTTTCTCGAGAGAAAATATTTATTTTAAAAAATATTGTGAAGTAAAATATCGAAGGAAGCTATAGAAATCACTGTCAGTTCAGTAAAACCGAAGGATCCCCAGTGTATAAAAATGAGGTAAGTCCATAAGTCTATTTTAGAAACTGTGTATGCTTAAGGTTGACTTTACAAATTGCGAACTTATTCATATGTCTGATAACGAATCCTTTAATTATGTACGAGGTAGGGATTTCCTCGCCTGATAGTGTGCCATAATTTCGACAATCGTATATTTTAAGCACACGCGTTTTTATATAATAGCGTATACATTTCCGAAAGTTTCGCATGTAAATTAATTACTTGTTTACGTGTAGTAGTACACATAATTATACGGTCTTTAGTCGTGAAATTTTCTACACTTTGATTTTACGGTACGACAACCAGCATTTTTTCCATCAATGTGGAAAAAAATGTTGTGTAATCTCATCATTGGATCTCTATCTGAAATAACATCGCATAATTTTCTCAGTCCACCTGGGTACGAGAAAACTTCAGAAAATTTAATTATTGCTTCGGATAATGCACAGCTGCTAACGTAAGCACATTTTACTGTAAACTTTGAAATAACGTCAAGACTAAATGAAATTATTTTGCAAAATTTTTCACACGATATTTAAAAAAAAACACATACTTATTGGCTAGATTTGTCATATAAATCATTAATCAATTTGATAATAAATCTTATTACAAGTTAGTAAGCTGCTTGAAATTTGACGATTGATTTAAATTCGTTAAAACTTTTCGAAACTTCCGCTATAATTTATTATCGCGATTTCGTGACTACCTACGTCATTCTGTAAATCCCTCGGAAGCAGATATTTGCATGAATATAATAATAATTATGCATGAATATATACAGAATCATTAATGACTGGACTTGGTCATTTCCATAAAAGTATTTTCTGCATGGAATTTATGTTGGTTTGCATAGCTTAATAAAACAGTTCTTCATTGTTTATCGAATGTATACACTGCAACTACAATACAGACATGAGACAAAGGTCACAGAGTTCAAAATGCAGGATAAAACCTTGAGTCATTCTTTTTAGTATATAACACGAGCGAAAACGTATGCATCGTTTACCTGCAATTAACGTAGCATAGCCACATCGAATTAACCATAATCGTGTTGTTATAATTCTAATTATTTTGCGACTTTAACTATTTTGTTCGTCACCGCAGGATTTCAATTTAATTGCTACTAAAAAATAATCGACTACACAACTACATTTATAGTGTTCAATGCAATCGGGAATATCTCTAATAATTCGTGCTATTGCGTACGTGCCATGCAATTTCATTGCTGTGTAAAGACGTTGCAAAAAGAAAAAGGGGAAGATCATTACGAAAAGAAAATTGTTACGATCGATACCAGTCGATACAACTCCTACTGCGTTCAGTGATGTGCAGCGTGAACAATATTTATCAATACATTTCCTATTTCATATACGAGTAAAATAAACAGCAAGACATTATACTGTGTTATCCGAAATAAATTTCGTATACTTCCACTAGAACCTAGTGCGGAAAAAAAGCGAATTGTATAAAATATCTGCAGTGCGGAACGACCCTTGAAAACACGGAGAAAAGTCTTTCATTTTGTGCTGATTTAAAAGAAGCTTTCATCAAAAAGTTTTAAAATAATGATAAGTTATGAGTTTTGTCGCGAAACTCACATGATTAAGTTATTAGTTTAAAATAACGTGTGATTTCAAAAATCAATTTTATGCAAGAAAGAATTTCTTTCGAAACTTTGCAATCAAAAACATTGCGTTCATCTAAAATGGATCAAAACTATCAAGATATCGAATTTCATCCGACATCAACGAAAGATTGGCTCTCTCGATCGCCGAGATCTTTTCAATTCGAATAAACCTGTGGCAGAGTGCCTGAATGTAATGTCCAAAACGAATCGACGTAACGTGCAGACTTGGAAGAATTTTTCTCCGTGGAACGAGATGAGGGTGCGTTCCAGAGGGTGCAACGAAACGTTCGGGAGACAACAAGCCGGGGCAACAACAACTGAGGGATGTTTTCGTTCGGGCAAGATCGGTACAGACCTTAAGGTCGATCGAGTGGATCGCGCCGGGATGCGGCGAGGAGTGCTCTTTCGCGTCGTTGCCGCAATTGACATTGTTGTTAACGTTCGGCAGCGAGCCACCCGCCCTGAACTGATTTCCCAGGTTAATGTGCAGATGCTTGCCGCTGGACTGCGGTGGACTGGCGCCGGCACTCTTGACGGACAGCGGGGTCTCCGGTACGCCGGATCCCGTGGGACTAGCACCCACCGAGCTGCTCGCCGAGGCCACCTGTGCAGGTCCCGTCATTGACAACCACACCGCAAACAAAGCAGTAGTCGTAAGCGAGCTTTACAGCTCCGCTTATTGTATACTCGACCGGTTAGCCTTGCGAGATTAGGCGCTTCGAACGAAAACTCAAATATTAGTCAGACATCGGCGCAGGCTAACCAACCTGTTTTTCCTCTTCCTTCCTGCGAGACTTACGGAGTCAGGACTGACGATTCTTTTTTTATCATCCTGCCACCCTCCTCGCACATTCTTATTCTACAATCTACATTTTAACTTTTAAGTCGTAAGAAATTCACCAATTAAAGTCGATTATTCTTTTCACATTTGACTACGATTGGTCAATTTCTTACGACTTAAAGCTTAGGTAATGGCAATGGCTTCTTGTAGAAAGCCCACTACGGTTAATTCTTACTTTAGTCGCAAATGTGTTCGTGATCTTCAGTCATTCCTTTTGTCGATCGTAAGCGTTGGCTTCGCGACGTAGGTATTGACTTTCACGGTATAACGATCGGCCTTTCTGTGGACCACGCTCCGATAAACAGGTTCTTATCTCCGTAGCCGGATTTCATTCTCCGATTGTCGATCTGAACGGTACTCTAAGTTCTGTGAGTGAAAAATTTGGACAACGTGCACGAAATATTGTAAAATCTAACGGAATTCGGTCCCGCATTGTGTTTAATCGGTAGACAAGCCACGACTGTTTAAAAGCTGACAGTTAACAGCTACTTGACAGTCAAATTTAAGCGGGTCTCATTTTAAATCGAAGGTCGGCAAGCTTAAATATTTTATAAACTTTGTAGATCACAAGAGGCAAGATTTAGGAAATTATATAGATATTTATATAACAAGATGCACTGGAAAAAAATGTAAATTTTAATAAATTATTTGTTTAAATAGTACCAACTAATTATTTATTAAATATAAAAATTTATTTATTTCGTACAAAATCATCAATTTAATTTGACAATCATTTTTTTATTTACTAAAACTTGATACATTTCTTCTCGATGTAAAAAACAAAATTTTCATTAACAAAATTCAAAGTATGTAAATATTTATAAGATAGCAAATAAGATAAAAACAATTTCTTATTAAGAAAATTCAAGCTAGATAGTGATTATTATTACGAGTACAATAATAATAATAAACCGTAGTTTGCCGAACCCGGTAGTAAACAATCATGTTTTGATGTCTAAACAAGTAAATTTCTGCGTAAAGGCGCGGTGATCCAATCTCGTTTCATTTGTCCAGAAGATTTTCGCTCCGAGATACTCGGATAGCGACGAACGGTCCCGCGAGACGTCCTTATCTTTTCGACGCGATTGGAGAACGTTCTAACCGCACGGGGGCATGCGGAGGTGCGCTCGAGGACGGTAAATGCATCGACCCAACCTCGCCGACGCTCCCGTTGAAAATACCTCGAGGGCCGCCGGCGCTGCTATTGAGAGAGCGGAATGTTTACATGCGCATGGAAATGAATCGAACGCATCGTAACGAACGCTAAACTTCATCCGCGAGATCACCCGAGAAAACGGCGCCCCCTCTCGATGTTTTTACCCTTTTTTTCGTGGTTTTTTTTTTTATCGAAATTGAAATCCCACGTGCCGTCCGGCGGGTATTTAAACACCGCGCTCCGACTCTACAACGCGGAATTGCCAAACAAAAAATAAATTTGGAGCCACGAATCGTTGTCGCGTTAAAACATGAGTTGAACCGAAGTGCGTGAATTTCGACGTGCGATCAATCACGCTCGCGAGAGATTAATCCGTGTCGCGTAATCGCGCCTCCGAGCGCTTTAGATCGGCGCGGGCGTGCGTGGAAAATCCACGCGACGTAAGTTAGTATAGTAGGTATATGTGCACCGCTCTCTCGCGGTAACGGGAGCCGCGAGCCGAGGATATGCGGCCGCGCGCTTGCGATGCACTTGCACCAGCAGTCGCACATACACACACGCTCGCTCGCGGAGCAACCCGGCCGATACACAGGCAGGCAAGCAGGCAGGCAGGCAGGCAGGCAGGCGGGCAGGGCAGACAAGGCAGGCAGGCAACACGCACGCACGCACGCACGCATATGTATACACACACACACACTCAATCACTCACTCACTCACTCACTCACTCACTCACTCACTCACTCTCACACACACACACACACACGGAGACCGAACAGCGCGGTAAGCGCAACGATAAAAAGGAGAGACGGAGAACGCGAAAGAACTGGGGCAAGGGGATGACGGGGGCGAGGGGAGACACCCGTTGTTTACGTTCTAACATCTGAGTCGAGGGAAGTGCACGACGGGTCACGGCGCGATCGCGGCACGGCACCGAGCCACCCACGCCAAAGGATAATACTGATATCTCCTTACTCTGCTCGTGACGTTCGAGACCTCCTTCATGATCGCCTCGAATGCGGCCGAGTCCTGCGCCTCCTTCTGGTTCAGCAGCGCGATCTTTTCACTGAATTTCCGTGGGTTCGCCATGATGGCTCGCGGCACTAGTTTTTCGCGGACACTCGCGGAACCCGGAGCACCCACCACCACCACCACCACCGCCGCCACCACCAACCACTACTATCGCCGCCGCTGAGCGACCGCCGACCACCAACCAGCCACCCTATCGTCGCCGAACAACACCGTCCGCCGTCCTCACGAATCTCACGATCCGCGATCCGTTTCCTTGCTTTTTTTTCCCCCCCTCGGTAGACGACGCACCACTGGCACCACTGCTCGCGGGTTCTCGCACGGATCACGATTATCGCGCTCTGTCGCTGTTCCCCGCGTAACCCGATGCGTGCTGATGTGTGCCTTCCGGATGGCACTGCCGAACACTGATACGCAAGATCATGCGGCGCAGCGCGCCACGCGCATTGCGCAGGAGCTGCAACTTCGCGGGCCGACTGGACTGGCCGCGCGACGATCGCCGCCCTCTCGCGGCCGTATCCCTCACGGAAACACCTCAGGGACTTTACGATTTTTCCCTCAAATCGTTGCAACAATGCGAAACAAGTTCCCTAGTCACTCGCCATTTTGCGATTGCGCAGTGAGCAGTTTACCCTCAGTAAACATTTCTCACTAAAAAAACGCTGGACGGGAATTTTAAGCAACGTGAACAGACCTAACCTCAGTGAATGGCTGCGTTCAGCAGAGAAAGCAGCTTTGCAACTATTGTAAAATTCACCGATATGATTGGTCTTACCACCGACGAGATACTATTAAAGACCGACATCCTTACGGGAGTTCGCGTCCTTGTGAATATTGAAGTGATTAAGAGTTAAAAACTAATAATATTGTACTAATTTTATGATTTATTAGTTTAGTAGATGCATTTATGCATTTATAACTCAATAATACTCGATTTTTCTTTAAAATTGAGATTTCAGTGTTATCATCAAAGTTTGATTATCAATAAAGATGATAATTGCA